GAAAAGTATGAGATTTATCTTGCTGAATCATCATCGTCATCGAATCCAGCAAGTCTTCAAATATATCATAATTGTACACAACTATGGTTCGGCAAATTATGTGAATACACATTTGATTCACGATTTATATCATTTTCATCGTTTAGTGATATAGTTAATTTCATTTATGATATGAAATTATCATCAGAACTTGGGCCACAGCTTGTTTTCAAAATTCTTGAGGTAACCAATGGAACTTCCTATACAGGTAATCAAAAACGATTCTCAATTATCATAAAATTTAAAGCATGTAACGTTCATTTCTTTGATCGTATCAGTGCTTTTACTATGTCTTCTGAACAGATGAGTCAATAAGCAATTATCCCAATCGTCCCCTAAAACTTCTTTTTCTTTAAAATATGTTTGTCTGTGAATAAGATATTCGTAAAAATAAAAGTTAAAGAAGCATCGGGTCATAACAGAGTTGTCAAATGGTGTGAAGAATAAAGAACCTTGCCGTTTTTTCGTATAGTATCAGCGTCTTTCAAACAGGAACGAAATACATACAGTTGGATAGAGGAAGCGAAGACGCATCGATTGGTGTTTTGGGTTTTTTGATCGCACCATTAGGAGAGGAAAAGTAGAGTTCGAAGTACAGGCGTTCTGCAGGAAAACAAGTATTTGTCATCTTAAAACTAATTTATCTCATGTTTTAAAAATAACCCATCTCCAGTTTTGAGCTAAAAATCGCACCTTTGAATAAGATTCAGATTTAGACAATAAAAATCGCATATTGTTTTTATCCTAACTGATGAAAAAAATTGCTTTTCAAAAATATGAAATTTTTGTGCATCCATGAAAAATGTAAAATTCAATTTTTTCACTCATTTTCTACTTCAAATGAAAACTAATACCTTATTTGTAATCTACGAATAAAACCGCATCGAACAGGCTATTCTAGAAGTGTTCACTGCCTTACATCTAATACCTATAGTAAACTGCGAAGTTGAGACATCTTTTTGCAACCCAAGTGCATATTTGAGTATAAATGCGCTAAGAAAACAGGAATGGCTCTTGTTTTGTAGAGTTTTTTCTCCACTACAAAGCCTTATGTTTAGATAATTCTTATTCAAAACAGGAAGCTGTTTCTTTCACCATAAGTAAGCACCTTAGCCAAAACCAACGAAACACACTCGTATTTTGCAGTTTTCACCGTCAAACTTGCATTTTTTTTGTAAAATGAATATCATATTTGAAATTAGCATCAAAAACTGAATTGACTGATGTGCGTAACTCTCCTAGTGGAAAGCTGATTTCGTTACCCTTTTCAGAGAACTTCTAAACGTTATAACTTTTTGAGCAAAAGTCGTGGAGAGTTGCGCAACTTCTCATTAAAAAGAAGATTCGAAGACAAAAGCTTTTCAGAGTTTGCTTGAATCGCGTTTGAAGAACTTTGAATCTTCTTTTTAATGAGAAGTTGCGCAACTCTCCACGACTTTTGCTCAAAAAGTTATAACGTTTAGAAGTTCTCTGAAAAAGGTAACGCAATCAGCTTTACGCTAGGAGAGTTACGCACATCAGTCAATTCAGTTTTTGATGGTGATTTCAAATATGATATTCATTTTACAAAAAAAATGCAAGTTTGACGGTGAAAACTGCCAAATACGAGTGTGTTTCGTTGGTTTTGGCTAAGGTGCTTACTTATGATGAAAGAAACAGCTTCCTGTTTTGAATAAGAATTATCTAAATATAAGGCTTTGTAGTGGAGAAAAAACTGTACAAAACAAGAGCCATTCCTGTTTTTTTAGCGCATTTATACTCAAATATGCACTTGGGTTGCAAAAAGATGTCTCAACTTCGCGGTTTACCATAGTTATTAGATGTAAGGCAGTGAACACTTCTAAAAATAGAAAAACTTGCTACTAAAATGAATTCGAATCGATGGTATTTCTACGGAGAAGTAACCTATAGAAGAGTATCCGAAGGTTTTATTGATCAAAAAAAGGAATTAAAGTCGTTAGAAATCGTACCTAAAAGACATCACACCCGATGATGTGAAGAATAAAAGTTTTCTCGATAAAGAATTTCAAATATTGAATTATTTATCCGAGACTTATAAGGAAAATCGATTCTCATCGTCTCAAGGTTATTATTTTCTAAAACCAATATCGAAAATAGATTATGACAAACAAATTTCATTAAATCAAGGAATCAGAATTTATGATCTAAGAAAAACTGATCATGGAAAAGATTTAAAAAAATAAATTTAATCTGATCGTCGAAGAAATTTTTGTCTTGTATAATCAAACTATCGAATAAACATTATATGACATTATTCATCGAAAATGAAAGACCTTATCAAAAAAATTATTCTCTAAGATATATTTATGTTCTAAATTCTACAACTAGAAAATGTTTTCTACAAAAATTGAATTGGTTTACTGGAGTAATTGATCAATGTGTTTATAAACTTCAATTCATTCAATGTCCTAAACAAAAACTATGTCCAAAGATAGTTTCCCGCATGTCTATTTAAATGCAACTGCGTGTCAATGGACTTCAGAGAACAAACATTGGAAATTTTTGAAGAAATTTTTTCATCAACAGGAATTTTTGACGAAAGAAAATATCGAAAAAATTAAAGAATGGTTTATCAAAAATATAGAGAATATATCTATTTCAAATCATGTGAAAAAAGGAATTCCACACGAAGAAAATTTCGAATCAATAGAAAAATTTAAAAATCTTTTTTCAATGATTATCAGTTCATATTTAAATTCCACGGAGACTAAAAACATGAATATTCGTATTGAAGAATTAACAAACATTTTCATTCTTATTAAAACATTTGAAGATATTTCTGAATCTCTTCGCAATATTAGTGAAACAGAAAATCATAATAAAATCACCGAGTGTATTAACGCTATGGAAGAAACGAATGATGTCGATGCAGTAGTAGATATTATGTTTATCACTCTAAAAGAATATTCTTTAAATTTCTTATTTCAAGAAAAACTTTGTCAAAATTTCAAAATGTTTGAAGATAGATTACAGCATACAATACTTTTATTGATGGTAGAAAAAAATAGTTTCACTCCTGAAGGGAAATATTCGGATTGTGTGCACCGATTAAAAATGTTTTTAGAATTATCTCGTTCGAATTCGAATGATAAAAAAACAATATATTAACTTTCTTAAGTTTTTGGAAAATGATCTTAAAAAGGAAAAGATTTATTTTGATCCAACAATATGTCAAACTCTCCAACAAATATTAGAAGATGATACAAATGCAGCAGTAAATCGAATAGCTAAAGAAAGTTTAGAACAAATTTTTCAGTTTATTCGGAACTTTGCACAAGTAGAAAAATCTTTAAAAGATTTTCATTAAATATTTCGATGTCTTTTACCATATTGTTATGAATTATTAGATGTACCAACAATTAATCGACGATTAAAAGATGATATTTATAAATATATATCCTCTTACCAACAAAATTTTGATCAGATTAAAATATGTTTGAATAGTCTTTCTGACAAGAGTAAACATGATCACTCGATTAAAATAGATTTTAAAACTGAAGATTCTAAACAGCAATCAACGAGATTTTTCAGTTCTTCAAACCTTTTATTGATAATAAAGATGACCGATTTGTTCATTACATAAGTACATATCTTCAAGAAACGATGATGAATAGAATTGATTATTATATGCATAGTTTAGCATCATTTCGACACAAATCTTTAGTTTCTATGGAATTGTTTGAGAAAAATCTACATCAATTTTTACTTAATTCTATTCGCCAAAGTATTAAAACTAGTGATAACCCTCCCCCCCCCCCAAGTGGTCTTCTATTATTTTACTACGAATCAATTAGCAAGTCAAGCAATTTCTTATTTAAATTCAGAAAATTTGGATTATGACGCGAAAAGTTCTTTATATAAAAAAATTCTTCAAATTTTTGCTAATCAAAATAGTTCAATACCGTCGGAAGTAATTGATTCTGTAGGAAAACAACTTGACAATTTGAATCATAGTCATTCTTTTTATCTAGACACTAAAATTAAGGATTTAGAAAAGATGTTGAATAGATTTGCTAAGGTTGAAAACGCTTTACTTGACTTTAGTCAATTATTTCAAAAATATTTAAGTAAGAAATATGATCATTTATCAGAAGAAGAAGTTTTTTCTTCGAATGGAAAAATCAAAAAAGAAATTTTTGATTCTCTTAAACATTCGAAAAATTTTGACGATATTCGAAAGCTGATTAAAACGTTCAATGATTCAGGATTGAATGATCTTGTTGAAAAATGTGAACCATTTGTCGAAGATGGTGATAAAAAAGCGAGTACAGAAATTAGTGATTGTTTACGAGAATGTATTATTGATACAACAGAAAATTACACGACGAGTTTATTAACATTTCGTCATCAAGCATTAAATGCTTTTGATCATTTCGAAAAAAACTTACATGATCTATTATCGACTTATGGTGTTATTCAAAACAGAAATTTGACATACTTTATGGAGCAAAGATTAAACAAACCAAACAATCTTCCTGATAATACCAATAATAATTATTGTAATGATTATTTAGATTTTTATAGAAATTTTGTAAACGATTTAGATGGAGAATTTAAAGAACGTGCTTCTGTAATAAAAAAGATTTTAAATGAAAATAATCATACACTTAAACCTTATTTCAAACAGAAAATAAATAATATAAGAAATTTATTAACTAGTTATGTTCATTGGTATAAACTAGAAAGTTTTAGAAAGGATGAGTATGATATTTTTCAAATCAAAACAACTTCTGCAATTCTTAGTAGGATTTTAGATGTTATTAAATCGAAATATTCTGATTGTTTTTGTCCGAATAATGAAATAAGAATTATTAATTCTAATAAGCTCTATATTGATAGTGATCTATCGAGTTCAAAATATTTGGGAGTCAATATTGTTTTAGTTAGTCCATATCAAGAGTTAGTTCAGAATAAAACTAAGTTAGAGATTATTACAAATGGCAAAGATGCAAAAGATATTTGGAGTAATAATCCAGCAAAAAATGGAATTGGAACAGATCAAAATAGGAAAGGAAATAAAGGAGAAGATGAATGTGATGGGAAACCCCGAAAAAGTGCAGGACATGTTTATATAGTTGCGAATGAGCTACCAAAGATAGATGTATCAGCTTGTGGTGGAAAAGGAGGAAGAGGATAAGATGAAGGAAATGGGGCATCTGGATTAGATGATAAATACAGGGAGGATGCAGATAAAGAAGCTTTGAAAAAAAGTTTGGAGAAAAGCTAGGCGCTTCGAGGAGGTGCCTGGTCTTATCGCAATCATCGTATTGGTACTGATGGTCAGCCCGGTGGTTGGGGAGGAGACGCGGGTTCAGGACGATATCGTGGTAATGGAGGTCATCCTGGATTAGTAAAATTTGTTGCGTTAGATGATATTTCAGAGGAGATTTCATATAAAAGTTCACCAGGAAAATCAGGAAGTGGTGATGGTCAGTCAGGGCAGCCAGGTAAAGCTGGCAAACATGCTAAAGATGGTCTCGAATATGCAGCTATAAGCAATTGGATAAATCTCTTTAAAGCTGCAGTTACAGGTCGAAACAGCACCGACTTAAAAGGAGGTCGTCGGTATTCCTCTGAAAGACGTTATTTAAACGAGAAAAAACTATTAGAAGAGTATAATATGCGTATATTTGAAATTGAGGATAATAACTGTGAGCTTTGTTTTAGTCAAAGTGAAAGATTTATTTAAAAGTTGTAAATTGAAATCACCACAGCGTTTGTTAGTAAATGGCTGTTGCGTAATGTTTATTGTTATTAATGAAAATAAATTTCTCGACTAACACCCCACTCTTCTACGATTGGGACAGGTCGGAAGTTTTCAAGTCACAAATAAAGTCATTTTCTTAAACGGCTTCATGTCCAGCTAAGACTTGTTCATTTGAGAAAAATCG